CCTGACCAAAAAACATGAATAACGTTGCGATAAAGGAAACTGTGAAACTGAAGAAAGAGTTGAACATTGTCTAACTGTATAGTGTATAACCTTTGATGGACAAATTAAACGATGGCAAGGGTACAAAAACACCAGGAAACGTTTAAAAACATGCAACAAAACATGTAGAAAAACTTCCAAAAAACATGAAAAAACAAAGAGCTCTTAAAAGAATTAACCCTTCAAACAAGTAGATATACACTTACAGGACCTTATGTAAGAAGTTAGTCGGTGAACGGATGCTGAGGATGTTAAGTGCTTGAAAAGGATCGGAAGTCTCCGAACTTAATTAATTAATAATACTGCGAACATAATTATTTAATTATATCTGGGAGTTCAGAAGAATAAGTAGGCCATAATCAATAAAACTTCTATGGCCTTATTATTTGCATGATAGCTAAGACTAAGAGTAAAATTTTTTAAAGTTGTTCAGATAAGAAAATCAATAATTTTTTCTTTCTTTAGCATTTCCGGAATTACCACCCAAAAGTTACCATGAAACTGAACCAAGCAATCCAACATGAAACTTTCAAAAAATTGGTGTCTATAAAAAGTATAAAGTAACCAAATCAGTAATTGCTTTTCCTCTACCCTCAAATTGCAGGATTACAACCAGACGAACAAGCAACAGTAACTGAAATGGATTACGGCTATTATCAACAACTGTAACGTATATATACCGGATATTGAAACATACAAGAGTTTAACCTGTTAAGAGTTTAAGCTTTATGGTTACCTTGGCTACCGTGCAGGAGTTGCAGCAATTCTGCACCTCGTGTTTTACAAGGGCGTAACAGGGTTGTAGGTTAACAATTTTTGGCAGCAGTGTAATGACAAAACTAAAAACTGCATGACTGCTGGCAACAATTATCCGTTAGTTTTGACGAGTCATAAAAATCAGAAGTCATAAAAAATAATCATAAATAATAAAAATGAGGTGATTAGTGCACATTATTACACACAGTCATGGTAGGTTTAGTTGGGTTTGTTCTCTTTGCCTGTTTCATGGTGAAGAGAAATATAACAAATTACGGAAGTTATGTAATTTGGCACAAGTCACTGTTCTACCTGCTTTGAGATATTTCGGAAATAGTATCCATAATTATATTTTATAGTCAGAAGTACTGGATATAATTTGCTGATCTAAGTTACTGATATACAGGCAAATTGCCTAAAATTGCTTAAAATTAATAAATTGCCCACATTTTGACCTTTTGGTCGAACAGTGAACTTATAACAAAAAGCTTTTGTTATTCTGGAATGATTACGACAATAACAGCTAAATCAGGTCAAGTGGTCAAGGTCCGTACAATTACTGGAATTTAAATGGCACAATCAGTCTTCAAAGGCTTCCAAATATTAATCATGTAATAATAAGTAGATCTTGGAAGATATTCAATTGTATCTCAGGAAATAAAAGTAGATATCCACTATCCAGTTGTGTCCCAAGACAACGCGCCCAGCAGCACTGCAGTGATACTTTACTGTATTAAGAAAATAATTTATACTCGACTGATTAAAGTTTGGCTGTGATACAGTGATGTGATGCAGTACTGTAGGAAGATTATCTGTAGTGTGACAGCATGTTCCTGGGAAGTTAGCCGGACCTTTGTTAGATGAGGTCTACTTAACAAGGCACAAGCTGATTATCACGCTAGTTGTATAATAAGTTGAGGTGAACTATAAGTAGTAAGTGGTATAAGATTAGTCATGTTCAACTTTAAATGGAGGTGCTAAGAAAGTCAGGATCTGAGATATAGCCGTCTTCATCTCCTACTTTCAACTGCAATCGAATCATTTTTAATGACCTGACTCACCAAATAGAACCTTTAAGATCATAACACTAAAAAAAGAATTTGAGGATAATAATGACCGGGTACTACACCCAAATCAGAGATCAAATACTGGAGTACTGGATGAAGAAACCCAACAACCATTGCGACTCGAACAAACCTGGAAAATGGCAGTTACCGTGCAGTTACCGCGTGCCGTGCCGATAAAACAAACCGGTAGATTTTTATTTACTATGCCAATCCGTTCCAGCTCGTAGCGGCCCAATAATGCTACGATCTCGCGAAAAAGCATTATTTTATCCGCATCGCTGCCCAGCAGTGCATCGCGCTACAACGATCATACATCTTGACCTCATCACGATAAATCGAGATATGTATATTATACACTACAGGAATCATCCCCGCGTGTTGTATATTGTAGCATTTAAATGACAGTTTGGTGTGTTGGTTAGTCTGATGTATTAGTGATAGGTTATTATCTTTTGGTTTTATGTCCAACCAACCACAATCTGTCGTTGAGTCGTCTATAGAAGACTCATTACATATAATAGCATGTATAAGTAATACAACTTATATATAAGTCAAAGAAATATATGTTTAATCGTTACAGTGGGTTGTAGGAGGGTTTGGTATGAGACTATGATAGTGTTAATGCTGATATTGACATGGAATAAATCATCGGGATTTTATCCTGTTAAAGTAATTAATGGGATTGAATACTGGGGACGAAATGAGAGTCTCCATTTACTATAAAACAAAATGTGTATTGTACAGACAAACGTTATATTGTACAGATTTCCCTTCTAACAGACCAACCAAGTAACATAAAGTTTGGCAAGATATTATTAATATCAACTCTTCTCAAGGACACGGGACCTGGTACACACATACCTGAACTCCAGACACGTGGTACACGCACGTGACCTGAAATTATCGTGCATGTGACATGAAATTACCGTGTAGCACGCCTTCCAATCTAAATTTTCAGCTTGTCAGCTACCTGGAGAGTCGAGACGATCTCCTTATTGCTGGTGTTATATTGGTGTGACATTTTCATTACTTACCAAGGAAATGGAGTTGAACAAGCTGTCAGAAGATACGCGTAACAATCACTACTCTGATCTTGCCTGATCAGTGTAGTGGTGAAGTAGACTCTACTTGTGAGCAGGTCATGGTAAGATAGATACGATCATGAAAAATATGAAGCACTCAATGGGGGTTTATAGCATATTCCTCAATGCAGTATATACTTATACATTATATAAGCATATATTATAAAAATATACACAATATAAAAAATGCGCTGACTACTCTGAGATGGAGATGGATTGACGGAATATTAGAAATCATCAAAATATTTCAAGTATTTTATAATATTTTAACGTAAAAAAATGTATTGATTGAAATGATAGAGTTAATCTAATTTACATAGCGTTTAAACAAATTTTCACTTTCTGGTAATCTAAGTGGCAGATTTATGATTGACCTGGAGCTTTTGTTAAACCTTGGACTGGGATCATGGATTGTTGAAAAAAATAAGTAACTAAAATTTTCAGCGTTTGGCGATATGGGAACGGCCTTATTAATTTCATTATAAAAGAAGTATCAGAGAATAAATCTGAGAAAAATAAACATATAAAATAAATTCAAACAAGCTTTAAAAAACGTTCGCCTTTGTCCTGTCGAAAACTATTTTAAAATTCCGAATGATTCAGATTATATGTGCATTAATATAAGACATGACAGACAAATCACAAAGTATTTAAGCATGCAACAGACGCTGAGACATGAAAATAAGTAAATTACAAATAGTTTGACTACGCAGCCACGAAAGCCGAATCTTTGGTTCGCCATATTTCACCCTAGTTCACTATATTTCACCGTATTTCACCATATTTCAACATATTTCACCATATCTTTCTTATTCGGTACGGTACAAATAGTTTCGATTTGTTCAAAAATGTTTGTGATGATCCACAATAATGCCTAAGTATTTCAGTTATTGTAAGTATTTTATAGTAATATGTTTATACATATATACGGGTATGACGTTATTAACTCGTAAAGAAACATTACACTTGGAGCAATGCCAGGCATTATGCCAGTCAAACGGAACTAGTGAACTACTCTGTAGTCCGCACATTTCTCAAGTTGCTCCGTTAGAATGAATACATTTCTTCGTAATCAAATTTCTGTTCGAGTATATGTTCTTCGATCTCGTCGATCTAGTTATTTGGAATCTTGATATAAATTTCGTATCTTCAACCAAAATTATTTTGCCATTTCAATACCATCAAAACTTCGCATCAATATCTTTTACAAATAAGTATCTTATGTAGTTCCTGCAACCCAAGTCAATATTTGTGATCCACATTCCACAATGATTTCTGACACTTAAAGTTTCATGTTTAGTCACAAAATGTCTCCAAGTCAAATATTGTAATTAGATAGCAGCACCACGAGTAATCACCATTCTTTCCAATAATAATTTGATGTTTACTTATACCATATATTATCTTCGTATATTAATCTTATAATATGCGGGTATGACGTGGTATTACCACAAGATGAAATTACACTAAGAATGCCAGCCATTCTGCCAGCCAAACGGGACTGCTCTGCAACTATTCAAGTAGCTAATACATGACAATGAGCTCATTTCTTAGTTGTTAAGTTTCTGTCCGAGTATATATTTTTCGATCTTGTCGCTTAAGTTGTTGGGACTATTGATATAACTTGATTACCTTGATGATTTCGGTGCAGGACAACCTTATAGTTACGTAAGACCCTGTGCTGTCATTTCGAAATGCAAACTTACTTTCATAATAATTCTGCTACTAAATTAGTTACGCTTGATTGGATTAAACTTATAAAATACAAAGCTGCACTGGTACTTATTTCTTATACGTGCACACCATCCTCTACATGTGTTGGTCCTGTCACCACCAGAGGTGATACTTAACTTAATTTTAGACGTTTGTAATCTTATCACTCGCTTTGAATTATGTTCTTTAGAAACTCTACACAATTTTTAAAATATCACATATCTTAAATATTTTGTCATTTTTCTCTCCTATTTCGGCGATTTGAGTGACATTCTGCTGATAGTATCCACGAATTAATTTAAACCACTATTCACCGATCAGTATTCATGAAAAACAGCACATCTTTAATCACCGTCAAGTAGCAACAAGTCAACACTATAAGGGAACATGCTGGAGCGTGCAGCAGTAGGTAAGATATATTGAATAACATGTAGCATGATTTATGTATATTTTTAAGTATTTATTCTTTATTCATTTTTCATTTATTCTAAAACATAAAAATTACGTCCAACCATAATTTTCAAACTGAAGATTACTGACAGTGATACATGTTATTCTAAAGCTTCTAAAACAACAATTTGTTAACGTCTGGTAGTTCAACAGTTTTTCTTTTTATTGTGGAAGCTTTAAATATAAATGTAACATTAATATGTAGATTTTTCACAAAGATTATATTAATCAAACGTAATTCCGTATCCTTAGCACCACAATTGATAAAATAATATTTTCAGGTAGAACTGGTAATCTTGGAGATCTTTATGACTTCCGTACAGACTCTTTCCAGGTAGAATTTGTCTTGAAAAAGTTTATCTCGATCACGATACAATATTTTCTTGTTCATATGCTTGGTAAAATTTTGGAATCTCACTCCTTAAGTTTGAAATAAGGCTCAGAGAAATTCTGGCAATTGCTTAATATTTCTATAATTATAACATTAATAGTACTGTTCCGAAACTATTTAAAATTTCGAATTAAAATATTTAAAGGTTAGCTCTTCTTATTGATTTATCAACAATCCAATAATTGCAGGGTCGTTCGTTACTATCTCGTGAGTTGGACCCAGAGACGGACATTGATCGTGAAGAATTGAAGACGCAAGCAGCTGAACTGATGATGTCTGACTCTTTGGAAGATAGGTGTCATTATCTTGATATTGACGCTGAACTGTCCGTAAGTATCCTCAGTGGACTTGTCCATGTATCTGGATCTGGGAAGCTTCTAGAGGAGAAAAGATCAGTCTCACCAAACTCATCAACAATGGGTCTTATCTACAAAGTGGAGACGATACAGGAGGAAATAGATCCCCAGGACCTCAAGAAAAAGGTAGATTTAGATGTTTTGAACACTTCAGAGGTTACGCATGTCCTGACTGGGATAATATGGGGAGCTGTCTGCACCTTTACAGCTCACTACACATTTAATGATAATGAGGAAAAGAGTGAGATTGAAGAAGCTCTAAAAATTAATTTTACAAAACTTAAAGAAGCTCTGGACTCTTCTAGTAGTGACACTCATGATGGGAGATTGATAAGGGATGGGAGGAGTCAGTCTACAGATACCACCGAATTTGAAAACAGTGTTTCTGATGAGTGCGAGGATTCTTTGAGTGGGCCTGAAGAGAAATCTGAGTCTTCTTGCAAAAGGGAAGTAGGACATGATTTAGCTGGTACTAGTGCTGACCATTATTTTGAGCAGTTAAAACAAGATGAGAAAATTCATATTTATATCGAGTGTGATATTGAAAGCAATGGTCAAGATCCTCCTATGACGTTCCGCAATGCAATAGAAAAATTAAATTCTATTAACAAATTGGTGGAAATTTCTGACGAAGTGAAAGGGGTTCCCCTGAAGTTTATCTTTACACCGTTGAGTAAGGTTAGAAGAAAGTTAAGGCAAAAAATACCCATAGATATTTCCTACCAAGAAGTAGATCCGAGCCTTCTGAAACAGGTAGTTAACTTGGCGCAAGATATATCGGATTCCAAATTGAAGGTAGCAGGGTGCTATAAGATATTACTTGAGGGAATAGAATGCATATCAGATTGTGAAGCATATGAACTTGAAGATCTCCTTAGTTCCATCGTCGAACATGAAACAAACTTTAAAGATAAGCTTCGAGAAGTTCTCAAAAGTATAAGGTCGGAGAAGACACCCAACTCTGATCTGGTGGTAATGATCGCAGAATTTGCAGGTGGAAATTTGTCAGCAAAGGAAATTGAAAGATATCTAGCCACAAAAGAACCTTTGGTGCAAAAGATTGGAGAAGTGAGCAATTTGAAAACGTTTGGGATAACATATTTTGGGAAGGCAGATCAGATACACCATGGAAAGAAAAACCATTACGTACTCTATCTGGGTTCAGGAAATCAAGCTATTACTGCCTTAAAAATGTTAAAGAGGTTAAAAAAGAGCTCTAAGAAAAACCTTGACATAATCTTCTATGTTCAGGATTGCAGTGTTTACCCGAAGGGCTTGTCTGAAGAGTTAATAAATACGATTCGTTTCTACAAAAATGGAAGCTGTTGGGAAAGTGATGTCGCTGAAAAATACTGCCAGGACACGGATAGCTGTCTTGTGAAACTTCGGGCAAAAAAAGTATGATTCACTTCCACAAAAACGGGCTGAATTGGTGATAAAGTGCCCAGGTTCAAGCAGACCTGCAGGATGTTCAAGCAAGCCGAAGGAATGGAAATGCTTTGATTGCAAAAATCCTGTCCAATATGGAGTGGACGTAGGAAAATATTATTGTTTAACATGTAAGGTGGCCTGCGATCCTCAAATGACACGATACAGATGCGACGAAGATGAACATGGGATTGAATTCGATGCATACGATATGAAAGACCTTTATGAAGAACTGTCAGAAACAAAGCCTTGGACGAGAATTAATATATTGATTTTAGGCGAAACTGGCGTTGGAAAATCAACCTGGATAAATTCATTCGCTAATTACATCACTTATGATACCTTGAAATCAGCAATAGAAGAAAGCAAAGCGAATCCTATCGTTACGATTCCATCTAAATTTACATTCACAAAAGATGGATTTACACGAGAAGTTATGATAGGAAAAGAAGACCTAAACGAAGCTCATGAGATCGGGGAATCAAACACCCAAGGAGCAAGAACTTACCCATTCAAAGTTGGGGGTGCCATTGTAAATATCATAGACACGCCAGGTATTGGAGACACTAGAGGATCAAAACAAGACGATGAAAACATGGAAAAGATTCTTGCTCATCTCACATACTATGATGAACTTCATGGAATAATCGTGCTTCTAAAGCCTAACAATGCAAGGCTTGGGATCATGTTCAAACATTGCATACAACAACTGCTCTCACACCTCCACAGAGATGCTGCCCAAAATATTAGCTTTCTGTTCACAAACACTCGTGCCACTTTTTACGAGCCCGGAGAAACCTTACCTGCGCTAAGAAAGCTGCTATCGGAAAAGAATATTGGAATCAAGGCAGTCCAAGAAAACATATTTTGCTTTGATAATGAAGCGTTCCGCCTTCTTGCATGTGTTTTAAACGGAATCGAGTTTGAAGAGGATGTCATGACCATATATGAGGGAAGTTGGAGTAGGGCCTGTAGTGAGACAAACAGATTATTACAACATATTACTGAAAACAGAAGCCCACATGTCGTGAAGGACACTACCTCACTCAATGATTCAAGAAGAATTATTGTGGGTTTGAGTAGACCATTACAGGAGTTCACAGCCACTATTAGGAAAAATGAAGAAGGTGTTAAAGCGTTTCTCAATGAGATAGAGGCTTTGGGTACAGAAGCAACAACTTTCGAAAATAAGTTCCAATTTGAAGGGATCACTTTAGAGCAGCATCAATTATCGTATCCGCGGACAGTTTGTACACATTCAGACTGCATCGAGTACATTCCTGTCGGGAAAGACATGATAAAACAGCCAAATTATATAAAGCATTGCCATGTACAGTGCAGACTGGGCGGTATTGTCAGTCCTGAAATTGTCGGTGATGTCAGATTGATGAACTGTAAGGCTATGGATCAAAATAATAACTGCAAACATTGCGGACATGGCTACTCTGTCCACATGCATAGGACATACGATCTCCATCTAGTTAAGAAACAATTCATCTCAGACGAAGTTCAAAAACTGCTTAATTCTATATTGTCCGAAAAAGAAAAAACGAAGGTACAGATGGAAAGTTTGAAAGTATTGGGAGAGGAATTTCAAGATGAGGGAAAGAAAATTCAAGAGGTAGCTGCAGGATTTGCAGCTTTTCTAAAAATTTATGCGATCATACCTTTCAATGATGCCATGGGGGAATACATTGATGTTCAAATTCAGCAGGAAAAAGAAAAAGAGGATGTTGATGGCAAAAGAGAAGATAGAATTTCTGAATGGACTAAATACAAAAAAGAATATGAAGAACAAAAAGGGATTTTGATTGAAGCAATGGATAAAGTAAGTGACACCGACGAAGGAAAGGCCGAAGCAGCTAAGGATATTAAAGATTTGATGCAAGATGCCTTTAAACTTAAACATTTTGGTGAAGACATAAAAAAGGTTTACGAGAAAATCGAGCAAAAAAAATCGGAAATGCCAGTGTTTTCCCAAGGACCAGTTCAACACCTAAAATCCACGTCTAAAATAGAGAAAATCATTCCACCAGGTGTCTTCCAGAGAGCTAAAAAGACTGGAAAAATTTTTTGAAACGATTAGGATTTTGATAAATAACGTCATCACATTAATTATTATTTTGTCAAAATGAAATTACACCCTTCAGCCGAAGTTTCTGGAAATTAAGTTTTTAATAATGAGATTGTGATAACCAAAAGGTTGCTTGATGTTTATTCTTAATTTGTGTGTTTTGTGACTTTTTCCAAGAATGAAGAATCTCTCGTTTTCGGAATTTCAGTTCAGTTTTAAATTTGTTAATGAATGCACCGTTATTAATGAAAAAATAAAAAGCTATTAATTTGTTTGGGGACGTCATACACTGGCTCCATTTCCTGGAGATTTGGTAAATACTTCAACACTCAACATTACACTAATAATGAGATTTATTACAATGATCGACGTATCGTATTTTGGAAATCTGGGTTTTAGCATAATATATTGAATATAATCAAGGAAAATATGAAACTTGTTTATGTTTTCTGATTTTATTAATGCTGTTCATTGTTATTTAGTAGTCGAAACAATAATCTTGAAGCACCGAATAACGGTGCAATTAGAAGCCAACAGACATTTTTACTCCTTTGAAGAACATTAAAACACGTGCTTTTCATAGCGATAAGTTGAACACAATCAACAATAATTTCTAATCATTTGTAAGCAACATCTTAAACCTTGAACTCAAAAGTCAAAACTTGTCATTAAATAATAATCAACATCATCAATCAGTTATCAGGCCTGGCAAATAATATAATAACATTCCAAAAGACAAAAAAGGAGCCATACAATTTAACAAGTAGTCAATTTCCAGAAATCCAGCTCATAAATTTACTCAAAATACTCTACCTATAAGTTCACTCGTTTTTAAAGTCTAGTCTTGAAGATCATAGTATAGATTTCAATATTGGTGGAAAGGTGTGTCATATTTCCTTACATTTGACAGCAATTAACCACTCAGCTTCCAGTATTGTCCAATCAAAACCCAAATTTACTGTCAAAACCAATACGCTTCACCTCCACCACATCTTGACCTATACTTCCCAAGATGAAGTAAAGACAGTGAACCTAGATGCAACCAGCAAGATGACAACAGGTAGCTTGACACTTTTCTTGTACGTATGTAACACGAGCTGCGGTGCTCTTGTCTGAGTACAAACAGTACCCTAGCATGGCCCTGTTGGAAAAGGGAATTTATTGAAGGTCAAACAACATGACAACAATGCGACTCATGAAAAGTTTTCCTATCTGGATATTACATCTAAATATGAACAACTAACTGTTTCTGACAGGACAGAGCATCATACTCGTCTGTGACCCCAACACAAGTATCACAACCAGCGTGGCTGAAACAGTATTGTATTCTTCCTGTCCCCGTGGAGGCTCCTATACAGAATGGAACTGGCTGAAATATAAGATTTGAGTGTTTTGTGGTGGTCATCTTTTCATAGGATAAGCTGCAAAGTAAAATGATTAATAGAATAACTCAAGGGTATTCACAAGTATGTGTCCTTTGCGAAATAGACCTTTTCAAAATACCAAAAACCCTAAAAATATGTTTGCAAATAATAATACCTCAACTCCGTTCGGATTTCTGCAATAATTGTGGTTGCCGAACTTGAACCTGAGTGCCTCTTTGTCATTTGTGAGGACTCCTGAAATTGGAGATGAAGATAATAAAATAAGTTGGAGAAATCCTTTATCGGGTTTGAGAATTTATTCTATCTATTGAGCAACATATTTTTCAATATTGAATTAAGCAGATTACAGTTAACTTTTGCCTAAAGTTGTTTTGCATTTCAGCAATTGTCATAACTATAACGGTATAATGGCAAGTCATGGTTTCACCTAATTTCAATTCCACTTTAAACTTACTGATTTCACACTTCCATGTGAATCAGAAATGAAATCAGACGAAAATAAGATAACGAACTTTAACTTCTTACGAAAATAACGAACTTTAACTTCTTACCACGCAACACATCCCTGTTCCAACCACCACACTCGAAGTTTTGACCACGTATGCTGTAATAATTCTTGTTTCCAATATAAGACGCCCCATTTCCTTCTAATGTATTCGATCCCAACTGAAATATGTGATTTGCTTTTTTTTAAATTTTTTAAGGTTTAAATTTTTAAACAAAATCGTTTCGAAAGGCTTCTGTTCCTGTTTTAACAATAGAATTACTCTACACATTGTCTTTTCTTAGAATCGGATTGTGTACCTTGACACATTCTGGCATCAACCTAGCATCTTTGACATCGTTTGTGAATATGTCCTCAATCAAGCACTCAGCTTGAACTCCTGTTAAAGTGTAGCCTGAGTCACATTTCACCTGAAGATCATGGAGTGAATATCATTATCTAATGAATGAAACACAGCTTGTTTTAATTAATCGAGAAAACAAATTGTAAGTCTTGACATGAACTGCAATGTTAAAATCTTGATATGAAATATGAATTGTTCCTAGACTGATATGTTCCCAATTTCCATGCATGCTCCATTAAATAAAACTCACGTTAACTTTTTCTCCAGGGTTCATAACTTCGTTGTTGTATACTGTACCTGAAATGAAATACAACGTGAAAATATGCAGTCAGTCAACTTTAAACGAAAAAGTTGAGCACTTACTATGATATTTCTATTACACAGAATTATTTATTATTAATTGTTATGAGCATTTTCTGCCTCCGGGATGTATTTTTCTGAGCACATCACACCATTATGGCTTGAGAGTGGATCTGTAACTATGCTGTAACTATGCTCATATAGTCCGAGGACTTTATCTGCATACTGTTGTCGTATATTTTCCTCAATATTGACACTGTTGAACGATTTAGAAAGCTGAAAACTTTTTGTATATTTTGTACACTTTATAGAGCGTCTTACCATGTTCAATAGTAGGTCTGCTACATTTCCCTACAGTTTCTTTAGTTTCTTCGACCGGAGGAGCTTCTTCCCTGTGTTATCAATTGATAAGCTTTTATGATCAAGAAGGATCTACAAAATATATATAGAAAATTAGAGGGTGAAAAATTATTCCCAGACTCGTGCCCTTGTCAGATTTTGTTATAGACATCGAATATAGAGTACTTGAATATTTTCTTATAATTTCATTAAAAATCAAATTTTACTTAAAAACTTACTGCGCGCAAAGATCACATGTCTGTTCACAAAACCTTGCAAAACGAGCATTGCACACATCGTGGCCTCTACTAGCGAGAATAGTGCATCTGGAAAGTAATTGTTAGGGAGGATTTCAGGATTACTTCTTTAATACTGATAGTAGTTTTATTGACCCAAAGTGCTATAACTTAAAATTTAATGTGTAATATTAATATTTAAAAGTTTGATGATTTATAGCTTTATTATCCGTTCATCTATCAAGATAGAGGTAACAACGCACTGGGATGTTTTGTCAGCACATCGTTTGGAGATGTTGATCTCTTCGTCAGATCGTTTGACTTTTCGTAATCTTCTATTGGCTTCAACGGCCCTTTTCTTGACTGAAAGCAGCTCTTTTTCCTGAAGAAATATCACTCAGTAAGGCATTGCATAGACTCACCATAATATTTTGAAGATTCTTAAAAATCAGGGAAATTGATATACTAATACAAACCACGATAAAACCTAATTTAAATTAATTAAGTTAATACCTCGCTCTCAGTATTCAGACACTTAGTTTCTGCAGTGCAAATGTTCGTACCCTCACAAAGAGTCGGTTTATCAGCGGGACACCCTGTTTCTTTGTTAATACTGGTTTTCTCGTCATCCCTAACTTCAGTAACGAGTGCCTGAAGTTTTATTTCGTTTCAAAAAGTGTAAGTGATCGCACGTTCTGACCAAACTTGACACACGTTGCAATTAATTTTTGCGCGAAGCGTGGGCCGGCCACAAAAGGCCTTTCTTTTCTAAGAAATGATAGGAGGTAAACAACGTGTAGCAAGACCAAACATGATATGCAATTGCTATTTGCTTTTCATACATTTCAGATGAACGTCTGAAAGAAAGCATCAAAGAAAATTGATTCACTCACCCACAAAATGTATCAGAAGATTTTATTTTTTAACTACAAATTACAAAATTAGCTCCATGATAGAAATAATAATCAGACAATATCCAATAAGCGAAATAGTTAATACTCACTGCCATACTGGTTTCAATACCACATGTATTTCCACGTGCTATGATAAAATATCCACCGTATCCCCAAGTTTTTCCGTGACTGTTTCTTACCTGATTTACATGTCAATTTAATTCAAATTAAAACATATAATAATACGTATAATACGTTCGTATAGTAATATGTATGAGGTTTTTTTTTCTATAAACATTTGTGCCATGCATTGCAGACCTCATAAAATAGCTCAATTGGAATGGTACAGGAGTAACAAACTCTTTAAAAAATAACCACAACGAGTATACTCATTACTCATTCCACCAATATGAAATATGATGTGAACGTTTTAGCTCCAATGTGAACGTACAATGTAGTACCAAGGAGTGTATCCCACGATGAGTACAGCGTGGTCACATCCATTCTTCACTTGCTCTTGTCTTCAGGTGTTGTGGGTCCTTTGAACACTCCTGCAAAAAGTAAATCAGAATGACGAATAATATAATACAGCTGATCACAATCCACATCTAATAACATATCAAACATAAAAAATGGATATGTTATTATTTTATATGCCCAAACGTTGGCACGAAAAAACCGTACGTCGTACACGTTATTAATAATTTGTAGCAAAGGGTTTAACTTTGAGCAATTAGTATTTAGTCCAACTAACAGTAACACATTATGAACAAGTAATAATAAAGATCAATCTTTGAAAAAGGGATTTTTTGTTCAATTGTTTTTACAGCAATTTCCGCCCAGCAATATATCTTTATCTCATACCTCCTCCGTAGGCTTTCAGATAACATGGATCCTCAGGCTTTTCACTCCAAGCCATACACGTCATCACACTTCCATACTGCACTATTGCTGCTTCAACTGTGTCTGGGGTCACGTTGATGTAATCTTTCACCTGATAGTTTAAATCAGTTTATTATGTGACACATATAATAAAATACCATGTTAACATCAGATTAATATTATTAATTCAATTAACAAATTATTCAGTACCTTAATCCTTTCAAGAGCGTCAGGGGTGTTATCTGCTCTGCAAGTATGCTGACCATTCAAGTATTGTCCATAGTTTCCTCTCAGACTCAACTTATCCAAGTAACTCATGAAGATTGAAACCTGGTGGAAAACATTTATTGTCAGCAACCAATGATCAGATCATGTGTAATATACAATTACAATCTGCGTGGCCCTTCAGTGAGACCAGTGAGAGTGGGTGTTGTGCAAACTTTATTTAATTAGTTGATTAATTGGTAAATAGCAAATTAATGCGATACTATAGAATTCTAAATACTGCAAAAACTTCAAAATTCACAAAACACTAACCATTCTGTAATCTCCACCCTCACACCCATTCTCATAGCAATCAGTCATCTCCTGCTCGCTAAACTTCACTTTCTTACCAGTAGCCTTGGCGTACACTAACTCCAAAGCAGCTACAAACACATGCAAGTAGCAGTTTCCGCAGGTATCCTGCGTCACAGCATCATTGATAATAATAGGGCTACCTCGGGCACCTTTAAGGTATCTACCATCCCAGAACTTTGGTACTGATCTTTCCTTCAGATGAGTGTCGCTTCTCTTTTGGAGTGCTTCGTTGACGGGAAGATCTTGGATCATCTTGGCTCCGTTTTGTTTATGGACTTCTTCATCGTCAAACATTAGTTCTATTGAGGCCTTCCTGGAGGACAAGGAATTAGTTATGTTTTTATACTCGAAAGAATTGTCCATGTTTAACTGGAGTATCAGGTGTTTGTTTTTTCAAAATCTGTTGACCTTGTTCTCTAGCAACGCATCCAATTCTATTAAAGTAGTTTTTGTATATCAAAAGCCTTATATATCTGTTCTACATACTTACATAGCACGAAAACATAAAATGAATATTAATATTTAAGTATACGTAATATTCTAACTCTCTATCTCCCATTGACCAGTAAGCCAGGGTAAAAGCTGCCAGTCTGTATTCGTAAACCTCATCACTCAGGGAGATATCTTCTTTCTCGAGCAAACCTAAAGGATTAGTAGTAAATGCAGACTATGCTGTGATGTTGCCATAAGAGCTGACCTATTTCGTCAATTGTCAAAACACTAGTATCACACTGATAACAGTAAAAAAACTCTTAACAGCTACATTTACTAACTATCAAAAACAGTCTTGATCTTATCTTCACTGTCTTCTTTGGAGTGACCCGATGCCAGTAAGACTAGCAAACAAATAGCGATCTTCATTAGTTGCAACGTTTCTTAGAACTTGAGCACTTTTGTTGTGATCGATGCCACGTCTCTTTCTGATTCTATTCTAATAAATATACGTTAGGACAGTTGTTGTTTAAGAAGTCAAACGTTACGAGATAAACGTTTCAACAGTGAAACGTCGCACACATATACGAAGAACATCAAACAGCGAATAAAAGTTTTAACTGTAATAACAAACAACTGCTCTTCGTCTTATAATAAAGTAGGTTAAATAAATATTCAATAAATAATAAACCCCTTTATAATAATGAATAAATAATAAACCCCCTTAATAACGTTTAACTTGGAGCTAACCAAACTTTACAGTAACACAACAAGGACTAATTCTAAGTTAATTGCACTTTTCTACATTATGTAAAGTTTTGAACTCATATGTGTCTACAAACATTTTTTGTTTATGTCATTGTTCAATGTACATCATCAAAAGTTAACAGCTTCAGAGACGTGCACCACCGCCGACGCGAAATTTTGACCAGACCGCGGTCTTTGAGGTATTGGCCTAAAAGTAACACGGTGCACATCTCTGAACAGCTTATACGTCTGATATCTGGATATTATCCGGTTGGAAGAGACAAGGACAAGTGAAACAAGGAAGTTAGGAGTAAGGGCAAATTTTCGGCGTCAACGCCATCTTCAGGCTCAAATTATTTGTTATATAGTAGTGTTGAAAGTATTAAAAAATTTTAATACTTTCAACACTACTATATAACAAATAATTTGAGCCTGAAGATGGCGTTGACGCCGAAAATTTGCCCTTACTCCTAACTTCCTTGTTTCACTTGTCCTTGTCTCTTCCAACCGGATAATATCCAGATATTAGTATTTCAATCATGAGACTAATAAACAGCGAACTACTCCGTTATTTGAGCTTATACGTCATGAACATCTAATGCAGAAGTGTGGGGTGATACTGGTCGTTACCCACTTGCCATAGAAACCAGTCCCCAAGTCTTCAGCTTGGTTTTTTGCAAAAAAATGCGGTTACTGTACTGCAGTTGCCAGCAAAACTTTACTCCTATTTAATATCGTATTAAATTGTATGTTGAGATCGTTTCAACATTCAAGTTATGGACTATCAAATTACAAAATAAATGGGAGTTGAAAAATACAAAAACTAGATAATTTTAAAAACTTTATAAACTTTCTTCCAACGTGATACAAACCAAATAACACATCAATAAGCCGTCAATGTACTTCTACCTGACCAGTGAGACCACAAAGAACAGTAAAACAATTAGAGTAGGTGCCTCGTTATCAAACGTTGCTTTAAGTTGTGCGTTAGTTACAGAACGGACCATTTCTCATGAGGTCTGAGGTTCACCTAATTTCCTTTAATCCATGTTTCACCCCTAAATCTACCTTTAACCTCCATGTTGTCATATCTATTTCAGCAAATTGGAGTATAACTAACTCTAACTACCATAATAATACTATTTATTAGTTGAGCGATTATAAACTATAAACAGGACGGCACGTGACTTTCGTAAGAGATCGGAGCTCAACACACATAGCACATGTGTTTTTATAATATACAACAGTTACACTAAAAATGAATGTAGGAAAAGCTAACAGACATTTTGAAACTATTACATGAGACACAACAGATCTCCATTTATAAGAATATATTACTCCCATACTCAATGAGGGGCGAGGGCTGGGTTTATAGAACATTGATCAGAACTTACCTTAACCTGCAGAGCATGCTCCGCGATATAATTGAAAACTTATTAATTTTAATTCAAGTTCTTGCACCTGTTCAAATATAATAGCAATAATAATTATCTCTCCGATCGTGCCAATGTTCTGTAAATTATTAATTATCTAATTATTTGATCAACAATGATCTTTTGTTGATCATGGAGCCAATTTGGAAGGTGCCTTTAATCTCAGTCTCATCAGTCCAGATGAAATTGTTTAGATGTAATAATTACACTTCACTATTAATACTAATAGAGAAAAACAAAGTAAGCCTCAAATTTAAAAAGTTTAAACACGAGCAGAGGTGCCAATAGGCTGTTTAAATACGCAAAACACCTTTATTGGCACATTCCAGCACCTCATGTACGACCTTTTTAGGATGAAAGTTGCTGAGCCGCGTACAATAGAAGCTACTTAAACCTTGCTTTAATAACTAATTAAAGACCTGAACACAGTTTAAGGTGTTGAGCATAAAGCTAACACTTCGTTAAACCCAAAGTAAAGACTTATGCGGAATTATCACGTAACAAAGCTTTAAAACTGACGGATAGGCCCCTGGGGCAGTTTACTTTTCTCAAAGGTACATGCCAAATCCGTTGACTGATATATTGCTTTTGCAAAAGATAAAAGTAAAGTGGAAGTGGTCAATACGGTGCCGAATGAAATAATCATTGCAAAATTTACGTGTTTAGCACATTAGTAGATTAGTAAAGTCGTGCTCCATTTTGGAAGGAAGATATCCGGTTACGAATAAGCAAGGGAGCTGTTATAGCGATGTGCTCTTTATGCTAAACGGAGTGATTCGTCCAAAAACGATGAAGGACAACTATGCGAAATGAATGGATTATGGCTGCAGGAAATAAAAATCTTGTGAAATTAATGGATCTGTATGTACTATGTACAAAAATGATAAAAAAGACTAATTACAGTTTTTCGGCGGACACTTTAGCAGTCAATGTTAATTACGAGTGTTATATGTTCATTAAAGTTTGAGAATATTGGTAAATATTAGTGGCCCTATTAAATGGCACAATGAGGTAAAATTTGTCACACTGTGAAACTATATAAACCATCAATGTTTAGGATAACCGTCTCATCCTCGAGGCAAACTTTGTCACATAACGATATCTTTATCAGATGATCAGATATCGCTTAAATTCGGCCGGCATTGAGTTGTAAACTTTGTCACACTATAAAAACGTGACAGAGTTTACATGGCCCCTTGCTGCCGTATTTGACAAAATTTTCGAATTTCATAGGAGAGTTCCATATTACTATTATCTTATTATCTACATATTTAGCGACTTTTTTCGTTAAACAGTACCACGGTCACACATTTAATCATGAAACACAGTCCAAAGCGTAGTGAGTGTAACCAATAAAGCGTAGTGAGTGTAACCAATAAAGCGTAGTGAGATGATGAGCTAGCTCGTGAAGTCTTCTGTTGTTCAGTGACCTGAGGTACCCAGTCAGACTGTCTCTAGGATCTACCTGACTGATGTTTGCTAACACCAACTCCTCCAGCTCCTGCAAGTTAGTTATTTGGATGATTGCCAAAGTTTTTATTTGTTAACGTATTTAAAATCAATATGGTTAAAAACTGGTATTTGTGGCAATTTGTTATAAATATGGATTTAACTAATGCAATGGTGACGGTAACAGCGTGAAATAGTTGTTTATTTTTGTAGATTCTTTTAGCTGAATTTTTTATTCGGAATATTTAACTTCTGCAGGGTACATTCATCAAACACCAAATAAAACAACAATTTCAATGAAGTTTCTACAAAAATTAAACTTAACAAAACCTAAAACATCACAATAGAACCAGCTTTCTTTTGTCTATCTTCTGCTTTTCACGACCACATCCCCTTCCTTTGCTTCCCCACGTTATTCTCGAACATATTCAAGAAATTACCAGCAGGAAGGTAATGACAACAATAGTAGACATGGTTGGTCACACCTGTAGCCTTGCTGAATTCCTGTGACTTTGCATACCCGCACCCAACATGGGTCACTCCTTTCCACACCATGCGGGTAAACTTGGCCGTTCCCGTCTGGTACACGTGCTCCTTGTAGTTGTACGACTTCTCCTCCTTGTACCATTGTCGTGCCGCGTACAGTGCGATGCGCGAATATTGTCGAATGTTGGCACCGTGGAAGGTATTTTTACCCGCGTTAGGCAAGATCTGGTTCTCTATCCACTCCAATCCGGCCAGTTTTCTGCAGTGTTGTGTAGCTGAGTTTTCGAGATCTACGTCCCAATTCAGTTTTCTTGCTCGGTGATTTTTGCGAAGATGGTTATGAAATTTCAATGACGTGCGCTTTGTGGCTGAGGTGTTTATTCTGCAAGAATGGCAGGACCATCGACATGTCTTACTGATACCCTTCTCAGCACACATTGTATTCAGATCATCTATATCATCTCCAAGCGACTCTACTAGCTCATCACATGGTTTATCACCAATTTTGAACCTCGTTTGATCAATACAATATGCACTAAGTACTGTGGAAACGAACAGCAAACAAGTTACGAGAAACAGCAGCATTTTTTGTGGTTGGAATATGAGTAAAGTAGGAATGGTTGGTACGAGATGTTTTTTTTGTTTTAAAGTGCTGTTTGTTTTTGAAATATGAACATTTGTTTAGACCACAGAAAATCACAAATGTCTCTGTAAACTTTACTGCAGAAAATTGTCACGATATACCATATCCACAATCTTTTCTGTGTTCGCAATATAATTTCTTCATTGATTTCCAAAATTAACCCCAGAATCTCCACTTAAGAACAAATGGAACAACAGTTATGTGGCTAGTTTTTACACAGTTACAAAAGCTAACCTTAAAGTGAGCGAAGCACTGTTTCTGTAAAGAGAGAACTTGATCGTAATGCTGACTTAACATCTGAGTCTCCGTAAGCGGATTCCCTTCTAGATCGTCTATTTCGAACCTTGAGTTTTTGTAGATTACTTTAATGAACCCTGATTGACCGCAGCCATTTCCTACCCCAAAGTGGGGATTACAAAAATTAGTTGAACATCGCCCAGTAATCAATATAGACTACATTATCAAACATGGATCTGCGATCACATTTGCATTATAAAAATGCTCAAATACCGTTTTAACAAACGTACTTGGAGTAAAATTTGACCATCTTGGGAAGCTCACAGAACAAGTGCCTTCCTGTTCTCGGTGCGCCAGAGTGCTTTCTGCAGAGCACACTATAATGTGTGTGTCAAGGAGGAGAGTGTTGAAGAAGCGCCGTGTAGGCAGTTGTTCTATACACAGCTCCAAAAATCTCTCCGCGAAATTTACCTGACATAATGATGAGGGTGACATTTTTTTAGATAATATGAGTTTAAAGATAATTTGATATTATCAAGACTGCACTGGTTTCGATTAGGTATTATATATTACTAGCAGGAACCCGTATAACCCTAAAATGGTATCAAGACTCAAGAGACTAAAATAATTATTACCTATTTAATTCGCGTTTTTGACACCACTTGGTGGTCCAAATTTTGGGCTCTAAAACTCATATTTCTTGGCCTATTTTTTAAAAAAAAAATAGGCCCAGTCAAAAACGTTTCAGTTGTATATTTTTTACGGTTTTTGCGAAAAGTCGCGTTAAAGTTGATGCCGTGGTGTCAGTAAAATGGTACGGATCCATATATATATGAAGGTCGCACAGTCCAAACTTAGGCAGAAAGGACTACGAAGTTATTTTTCCCTCAAAAGCATGATAGACTTACGACACATAAGGAAAGAGATAATCTTTAAACTCTTCGATGCACTTATTGTCCCAGTAGTCTCTTATGGATGCCAGCTTTGGCTCCCTCAGACATACTTCATGGGTGCCTTCTCATCAGGTAACTTTCCCAATCTAAAACAGATCAGGCAAGATCCACTAGAAAAACTACACTTCTGATCGTTTCTCAAGTGGACACTCAACGTCAATAAACAAACATCAAATGCGGCAATTTGGGGTGACACAGGACGCTATTAATACATTTTATTTCTGAGCAGTGCATATAGGAGTATGGGTCGCGTGGCTAATGTTCAGAACTTCTGAACAAGCTAGATTCATAGATACTAAAATTAAGCCACTATCGTCGAAAACGCTATTCGTTGTTTACCAATATCCTCAAACTTCAATGAACGTGTCCAATGTCCATATATAATACATTTCGGCCCATTTTATATGTTTGTCCGATTTGCTGTACATTTGTAATTGTATATTTGCTTTTTTGTAAAAGTTTCAAATCAAAATCATTTAAGGATGATACATGTTAAACTTCAGTGTATGCAGTTTTCCTATTGTACAAAAGGTGAAGTTCACCTCTTCATATTAGATGGGCATGATGCCCTTCAAGGACATCGAAGGGGAAGACCACACCTCACATATATTGACATCCTTCGGAAGGACACGGGGCTTGACGACAGCATGGAGATTAACAAACTCATGCTGGATAGACAGATTTGGAAAAAACTATCTCTGTTCGGACGTTGAAGCTGCCCTAAGTCGAAGTCGAAGTCGACATTATTATTATTATATGGGCATCACGTGGTCTGGGGCTAGTTGAGCTGGTGATGGGAACAATTTGGGGAGATTATTGTTTATTGAGTAACATTACGCCATTAAATTCCAACTCATTGTGTACATTCAAGCACTTCATGTGTACAAGCTAATGTGATTTGATTTCAATCTATTGAGGGATTGCTATACAGCTTGGCAATCTATTCATTCACCTAGATTCACCCTCATGAGAGATGGTCTTTAGTGTAATTAACGCACAACTTCAAGCAACGGCTGTTTGATCTTTTGATAACGAGGTACCCTAATTGTGTTCCTTCTCTTTGTGGTCAGGTATAAGTACATTGGTGGCTTATTGGTGTGTTATTGATATATTTTGGCTTGTATCACGTTGGAAGCAAGTTTATTAAGTTTTTTAAATTCATCAAGATAAATTCGCTAGGACTAAAGATGTCAAGCCCGTGCTATTTTTTTACTATTTTTCAATTTTATCTAAATCTATAACATGTCATCCATCTAGTTTAGCACCCGCCAATAGATGCAGGCACGTAGACAGGGGGGGGGGCTAGGGGGCGGCAGAAAAAAGATAAGCCCCCTTGTCCTCATGGTCGCCTGGTAACTGGGCTGTGTTTATGACTGCAGTCAGTCAAAGATTTGAACTGTGGATTAGTAAATATCTGTCATAACATCCAAGCAAACATTCTAGAAGACTTCTATAAATAGTCAATAGTGTCCCCTAGACCGTAGGAAATGTCAAAATCTTAAGACGATGAGGCCTGAGTAAGTCGTAAATTCTGATTGGAGAATGCAGATTGCTGTTGTGAAGTTACCAAATTTACGTGAGTACTTGATTATTTTCAATTTCAGTTTATTGCTGTCCTACAAATTTCTTTAATGCCAAATGTCGTTTAAAACACCCTATTTCGCAACAAAATTACGGGGGGCTGCGCCCCCCAAGCCCCCGCCAAGGGGCTCCGCCCCTGGACCCCGCTGCGCAGCTGGAGTGTACGCGTCGGCTCGCTTCGCTCGCCGATAGCCCCCCCCCCCCCAAAGAAAAATCCTGGCTACGTCCCTGAATAGATGTATAGGCATTAAGCTGTTAACTTTCGATGATGAACATTGAACATTGAACAATAACATAAACAAAGGATGTCTGTAGATACAATCCCCCATCCCTCATCATCGGCAATTGCTCCACTCAACTTGTTGGAACTTTAGACACAGTAGAAACGTATTTAATATTGAATTTAGTTCTATGTTGAGATCGTTCCAAGTTAACCTCCTCTTGTATTCTCAGCCTTTACTTTTTGTTTGCTGTGCTCCACAATTGTATTATAAGCCTTTACTTCTGTTGACCCCTTCATGTATATGATCGTGCATATCATTGGAGTTGGAACTTTAAACACAGTAGAAACGTGCAATTAACTTTTATTTATTTTTTATTTATTTAATTTTTTTAAATATGCAACCTACCATAACCCTGCCCTACCCGGGATCTTTCTATTCGCATTTGCGAGAGTCGAATCCAATGGTGTAAAAGGAGGTCAGGATTTGTTCACACCAAGCTCTAACATCGCTATTTGTTGACCACTTTACCTCCTTCATCTTTTTTAAATGCTTAAAAAAAAAATCGTAATTCCTTCACTTAACAATAACATTTATTAGTTCTACCTAGTGGTGCCCATCAAAACAAAAGTGCTCAAGTTCTAAGAAAAGTTGCAACTAATGAAGATCGCTATTTGTTTGCTAGTTTTACTGGCATCGGGTCACTCCAAAGAAGACAATGAAGATAATATCAAGACTGTTTTTGATAGTTAGTAAAAAACATTAAAACTATACACCATCATCAATGGATATATCACTTTTGTATTAAAAAATTACGATTACGTAAACCCCGATTTTTCACCGAGTTTGGGAGAAAGGAAACATCTGCGGTAAATCAGGATTTGCGGTAAATCGGGGTTTTGTTTGTTTACAATTTGCATGTTGGAGATGGCCGCGGTAAATCGGGGTTTTATTGTACTGACCATCATAATTTCACAACATTAACAGCCGATTAAGAGTCTACATTAGCATTTTTATATCACTACAAACCTTTCAGATTTGCTCGAGGAAGAAGATATCTCCCTGAGTGATGAGGTTTACGAATACAGACTGGCAGCTTTTACCCTGGCCTACTGGTCCATGGAAGATAGAGAGTTAGTATATTACGCATACTTAAATATTAATGTTCATTTTATGTTTTGTGCTATGTATGTAGGACAGATATATAGGGCTTTTGATATACAAAAACTAATTTAATAGAATCGGATGCAATGCTAGAGAACAAGGTCAACAGATTTTGAAAAACAAACACCTAAAACTTAAGGTAAATATGAACAACTCTTTCGAATATGAAAAAGTATAAACACATTCTTTGTCCGCCAGGAAGGCCTCATTAGAACTAATGTACGACGATGAAGAAGTGCACAAACAAAACGGAGCAAAGCTGATCAAAGACCTCCCCTTCAACGAGGAACTGCAAAAAAGAAGCGACATTCACCTGAAGAAAAAATCAACACCAAGGTTCTGGGACGGCAGGTAAACTCGACTAAACTAAACTTTTAAACAGGAATTATACATGAAATGAATAAGGACAACACTATAACGGGCTCGTCTTGGCTATACATTAATTCGTAAAGACGATCAGAACTGAAACAAAATCGAGAGAAAACTACAAAAATAAGATCTTAAAATTACAAAATTGAGAGAAACTACAAAAATAAAATCTTAAGATTACAAAATTGAGAGAAAACTACAAAAATAAGATTTTCAAATTTTTAGGTATGCTGAAGGTGCCAAAACGAGCCGTAGAATCATCAATCCGGCTGTAAGTCAGGGTACCTGTGGAAACTGCTACTTGCACGTGTTTGTAGCTGCTCTGGAGTTAGCGTACGTCAAGGCTACTGGTAAGAAAGTGAAGTTTAGCGCGCAGGAGATGACTGATTGCTATGAGAATGGGTGTGAGGGTGGAGATTACAGGATGGTTAGTGTTTTCATGTGAATTCTGAAGTTTTTGCAGTATACAAAATTCCACAAATTTGCATTAATTTGCTATTAATCAATTAGTTAATTAATTAAATAAACTCTGAACAATACCCACTCTCGCTGGTTTCACTGAAGGGTAATGTACAATGCACATTGTAAAATTAGATATTCCACATGATCATTGGTCGCTGAAAATGCATGTTTTCTCCCAGGTTTCAATTTTCATGAGTTACTTGGATAAGTTGAGTCTTAGAGGAAACTATGGACAATACTTGGATGGTCAGCATACTTGCAGGGCAGATAACACCCCTGACGCTCTTAAAAGTATTAAGGTACTGAATAATTTGTTAATCGTATTAATAATATTAATCTGATGTTAACATGGTATTAGTTATATATTTTTTTAAATCAGGATTACTGTTCTTAGACTCTCCTGATTTAGATATTAGGCTATGGCCACAACTAAACATATCTAAAATTCTCCAATAGTTTAACTGAAATGTGTCACATAATAAACTGATTTTAAATATCAGGTGAAAGATTACATCAACGTGACCCCAGACACAGTTGAAGCAGCAATAGTGCAGTATGGAAGTGTGATGACGTGTATGGCGTGGGGTGAAAAGCCTGAGGATCCTTGTCATATGACAGCCTACGGAGGAGGTATAACTATAAGATACAAATCTTTTGCTCGGGAAAAAATTCCCGGTTTTGTTCAAGATGAACATCTACTAATTGCTTAAAGTTAAACCCTGTGCTACAAATTACTAGTAAAGAAGGAAAGTGTACGACGCAGGGAAGCGGGGGGGGGGGTAGGAGGCCATTCCTACACCATGATTATGTTTTGATATGTTCTTGTGTGGTGATATAAGCATTGATCGTATACGTCTGCCAATAATATACTAGTGAACTGGTCTACTAGTCCTGTACAGTAAAATCTCAATTTACCGCGGAGTTTGGTGGAATGGAAACATCCGCGGTAAATCGGGGGTCGCGGTAAATCGGGGTTTTGTTTGTTTACATAATACATGTTAAGCCTTATTTGGGGGGAAGGAGATGGCCGCGTTATGTTGGGGTTTTCATGTTTGATATGTTATTAGATGTGGATTGCGATCAGTACATACAGCGGTATTATATGATTCGTCATTTTTATTTGCTTTTTGCAGGATGGTACAAAGGACCCACAACACCTGAAGAACAAGAGCAAGTGAAGAATGGATGTGTCCACGCTGTACTCATCGTGGGATACACTCCTTGGTACTACATTGTACGTTCACATTGGAGCTAAAACGGTCACATCATATTTCATATTTGTGGAATGAGTATACTCGTTGTGGTAATTATTTATTTAGGGGAGTGAGGTACTCCTCCACCATTCCAATTTAGCTATTCCATGAGGCTCGCAATGCATGGCACAATATTTAATATAAACTTAAAACCTAATAATTTAGATTAAATTGATATTTAATCTTAAATTCAGGTAAGAAACAGTCACGGAAAAACTTGGGGGAAAAATGGATATTTCACCATTAAGCGTGGGAACACGTGCGGTATTGAAACCAATATGGCAGTGAGTATTAACTTTATTCATTTTGCTTACTGGATATTGGCTGATTATTAATAATGATTTTGATCATGGAGCTAATTTTGTTAAATATATAAAATCTTCAGAAGCTGATGAATTGTTTTTGGGCGTGTGAATCAATTTTGTTGATGCCATTGATCTGAAGACTGAACTGTATGAAATACAATTGCTCACAACGTTTGTCCAAAACTTACCAATACCATCATTCAGTTACACTTTTTGAAACGAAATAAAACTTTAGGCGCTCGTTACTGAAGTTAGGGATGACGAGAAAACCAGTATTATCAAAGAAACAGGGTGTCCTGCTGATAAACCGACTCTTTGTGAGGGTACGAACATTTGCACTGCAGAAACCACATGTTTGAATACTGAGAGTGAGGTATTATCTTGATTAATTAACTTAATAAATCAAGTTTCATCGTAGTTTGTAAATGTAAATTATTTCTCCTGACAAAAAATATGTATATATAATAGTAAAATCTTCGAAATATTATGGCGAGTCTATGATGCATATGATGAGTATTGAGTAATTTTCTTCAGGAGAATGAGGTGCTTTTGGCCAAAAAAAGAGCTGTTGAAGCCAACAGAAGATTACGAAAAGTCAAACGATCTAATGATGAAGAGAAGATCAACATCTCTAAACGATGTTCCGATAAATTATCCCAGTACGTTATTGATAATAAAACTGGAAATCATCCAAATTTTTAGATTAGTACCTTACCTATTTAGTATCATACATTACATTTTAAATTGTCACACTTTGGGTCAATAAAACTGTTAATAAGATTCCTATTAAAGAAGTAACCTTACTGAGCGGCGCTCTGCAGTCTGTCATTTCGCTGCATCTACAATCTGTTCATGAACAGAAAAGCCTGAGGCCCCCAGGTAAAAGTAATCCTGAAATCCTCCCTAACAATTACTTTCCAGATGCGCTGTGATCGCTAGTAGAGGTCACGATGTGTGCAGTGCTCGGTATGCTCGATTTTGCGAGCAGACGTGCGATCTTTGCGCAGAGTAAGTGTTTAAGTAACTTTTTTAATGAAACATTTTTTTTAAATAGTCGAGTATTTGATATTTATAACAAAATCGGACACGGGTGCGAGTCTGGGAACTAAGTTTCGTTTTATATCTTTTGGTAGCTTCGACGGTACATCCTTCTTGATCATATAAGCTTATCAATTGATAACACCGCTTCAGGAATGAAGCTCCTCCGGTCGAAGAAACTAAAGAAACTGTAGGGAAATGTATCAGACCTACTATTGAACATGGTAAGACGCTTTATAAAATGTACAAAATACATAAAAAGTTTTCAGCTTTCTAAATCGTTCAACAATGTCAATATTGAGGAAAAAATAAGACAACCGTATGCAGATAAAGTCCTCGGACTATATAAGCATAGTTACAGAACCCACTCTCAAGCCTTGGTGTGACATCTTCGGATAAATACATCCCGGAGGCAAAAAATGTTCATAACAATTAATAATTAATGATTCCGTGTAATAGAAACATCATAGTATGTGCTGAACTTTTTCGTTTGAAGTTGACTGACTGCATATTTTCACGTTGTATTTCATTTCAGGTACAGTATACAACAACGAAGTTATGAACCCTGGAGAAAAAGTTAACGTGAGTTTTATTTAATGGAGCATGCAGTAAGATTGGGAACATATCTGCAGTCTAGGAACAATTCATATTTCAATAAATATTTTAAATTTGCAGTTCATGTCAAGACTTACAATTTGTGTTCTCAATTAAAACAAGCTGTGTTTCATTCATTAGATAATGATATTCACTCCATGATCTTCAGGTGAAATGTGACTCAGGCTACACTTTAACAGGAGTTCAAGCTGAGTGCTTGATTGAGGACATATTCACAAACGATGTCAAAGATGCTAGGTTGATGCCAGAATGTGTCAAGGTATATATTATAATAACAAATAATTTGAGCTAGCCTGATGCCATTCAGAGGGCATTAAGGGGGCATACACCAAACCTGTCCAACCCAAATGACCTCATAAGCAGTTCAGTGACCATCTAGCGCACCGTTTCCACATTCCATTCCTGGTTAGAGTGGAATTTCCGGAAAACACAATTTGTTTCATGGAGAGGCTATAAGTTAATCATTTCTTGCGGTATGTACTGTGAGCTGGTCCGAAGTCCAGACGCCATCACTTCATTTTAACTTATCATTACAACGGCCCCAACGTTAATGTGGCTCTTGCTATGTGTTGGTTCAATTAATTATTATATAATCAAGTTTATTTTTCTTCTTTAGTAAGTTGTCATTCGGCCACACATTAACAACTTATATTGCAGGACCATTTATCAATTAGTATATCAAAATATGTCATTGTATATGTAATTTTGCATGGCTGAAATGTAACGCTTGATTTATTTATAATATTAATTGAATTTTCAAAATAAATAACAAACAATAACCCCATCATTTACAACTAATAACATACTGATTTCTAACGTTTATGAGTTGTGCTGAGTAACGCTGTTCTAAAAACAGAAACAGGCGCTTTTTAAAATGATTCGACTGTTTTATTGAGATCTCAAATGAAAAACTTAAAAGTTGATTGTTAAATGAAAAACTTGGACCTTGAATAAGATATTTCAGTTGGGATCGAACGCATTAGTAGGAAATGGGGAGTCTTACATTGGAAACAGGAATTATTACAGCATACGTGGTACTGGTCAAAACTTCGAATGTGGCAGCTGGAACCGGGATGTGTTGCGTGGTAAGAAATTACAGTTTGTTATTTTCGTCTGATTTCATTTCTGATTCACATGAAGTGAAGTGGAAGTTTAAAGTGGAATTGAAATTAGGTGAAACCACATGACTTGATATTATACCCTTATATATGACAATTGCTAAAGTGCAAAACAACTTGAGGCAAAAGTTAACTGTGATCTGCTTAATTCAAATTCAATATTGAAAAATATGTTGCTCAATAGATAGAATCAATTCTCAAACCCACCGATAAAGGATTTCTCCAACTTATTTAATTATCTTCATCTTCAATTTCAGGAGTCCTCACAAATGACAAAGATGCACTCAGGCTCAAATTAGGCAATCACAATTATTGCAGAAATCCAGACGGAATTGAGGTATTTGCAAGCATATTTGGTGGTTTTTGATAGTTTTTGATTTTCAAGGGTTTGAAGACACATATTTGTGACTAGCCTATGAAAAGATGACCAACACAAAACACTCAAATCTTATATTTCAGCCAGTTCCATTCTGTATAGGAGCAACCAGTGGAATAGGAAAAATACAATACTGTTTCAACCACGCGGGTTGTGATACTTGTGATGGGGTTACAGACGAGTATGATGCTCAGTACTGTCAGGGCCAGTAAGTGGTTCATATTTGTTAGATGTTATATCCGAATAGGAACATTATTTATGAGTCGCATTGTTTTGATGTTTCTGATGAAAATTTCTGATGATTCCGTGTATGCGATACACGGAATCATCAGAAAATTTTATCAGAATAAAACAAATATTCAGAATAAAACAAATATTATATTCAAATCTCTTTATTCAACAATATTAAATCATTATAAGATTATAGAACCTAATTTGTGGCTTGATCGTTATGTTAGGGCTATTCTGTTAGCTGATGCTGACAGGCACCGCATGGGGCAGAGACTTAGGACCATTACGCTGGAGGCTTACAATGACCCTTTTTGAACCCCATGGCAGTGCTAGTTTTATTATGGTACAGATTGTAAATCGAAGTTATGAAAACGATCAAGTCACTCCTGTTTTACACTGTCAACAGCTACTTAAAACAACCTAGATTGTACAACTCACTTTGAGGATTAAACTGTTAAGTGATGAGTGATTGGGCTCATTAAACATTTTAGTAGCGGAGGCATGTGGATCAGCTTCTTGAGGTTCTAGTATTTCATTCAGACAAGAAGTTTTACTTTTTCAAATTTAGTTGTTCAAGCTGCCTGAGTTCAGAAAGTTTGCCAAAGGGGCCCAGGTATTCTTGTCACCTTTACCCTGAGACGAGAGAATGACTTTTTTAACCTTTGATTTGAATACACCATGAGTGATTTCAAGGTCGTTCAGTGCCAACATCTGACGGAATGAATTCCAAAGGCAACTAGATTTGTAAACGAAACTGTTTGAGGGCATGGTTGTTATAAGAAGAGTTTCTTTGCCGGGTCTTTTAGACAAACAGAAAAGTTCAAATAGTGCAATTGGTGTTCGATATTTAAAGACTTTAAAAAGTTCATTGCAGCAGTGATACGCGTATAAATTATGCAATGTCATGAGTGATTGACGGGCAAAAATTGGCTTGGTGTGCTCTCTCTTAAAGAATTTGCTCGTAAGTTTCTGTTCACTGATAGGTCTAGTCCTAGCACATGTCATAAATTTATCAAGGTATGCTTTTTTTGTCACCAAACATGATACGAACACACTTTTTCTGGGCTACAAATAGTGGTTGAAGTTTATTATTACTTGCACCTCCCCAAACGGTAATGCCATAAGCTATAGGTGACTTTCAAACAGTGTGTGGTACAGGTCCTTATGGATAGATGATGGAATTTTATCCTTAATCATGTACAGCCTCCCAGAACAGGACGAGAGTTTTCTAACTAGTTTGTCTCTATGGGGATTGAAAGTTAGGCCTTCGTCGACAATTACTCCCAGGAATTTCGTTTCCTGCACCTTTAGAAACATATTTTTTTCGTTTCCTGCACCTTCAGAAACATATTTTTTTAGGACAAAAATTGTGTTATTGCGTGGATCTTAAAACTAAGAGAGAGAGAGACCATCACAAAACTGTATCTATTAAATCCCCTTTACCCACAGGGCCAAGTTAGGGTACTGTTTGTACTCAGACAAGAGCACCGCAGCTCGTGTCACATACGTACAAGAAAAGTGTCAAGCTACCTGTTGTCATCTTGCTGGTTGCATCTAGGTTCACCGTGTTCACTTCATCTTGAGAACTACTTATAGATGTAATAGTGAGGAGGTGAACTGTATTGGTGACAGTAAATTTGGGTTTTAATTGGACAATGCTGGAGGCTGGCTGGTTAATTGCTGTCGAATGAAAGAAGAATATGGTTCACCTTTCCACCAGTATTTAATTTTATACTAGACTGAGTCTAGTAGAATTTAGGACCGAGCGAACTTATAGGTAGAGTATTTTGAGTAAATTTGTGGGCTGGATTTTCGGAGTATTGACTACTAGTTAAATTTTATTGATCGTTTTTGGCTTTTGGAGTGTTATCATATTATTTGATATTCGAGAGAATGTTTGCCAGACCTGATTGATGATGTAGTTAATGACAAGTTTTGACTTTTGAGGACAGGGTTTTAACAGGTGTTACTCAGAAATAATTAGAAATTATTGTTGATTGTGTTTAACTTATCGCTATGAAAAGAGCCGTTTAAATGTTATTCGAAGTAGCGCAAATGTTTGTTGACTTCTTGGACCTCTAACAATGAACACCACATTTTAATGTACCAACAATTAACAAAACATTAACTAAAGTTACATTACATTAACTAAAGTTACATATTTTTCTTGATTAAAGTCAATATAATATGCTAATTCATGCTGAATCTTAGTTCGTATTAGAAAACCCTGATTTCCAAAATACGATACGTCGATCATTGTAATAAATGATTAAATCTCTTACTAACTAATTTTTCCTAAAATTAGATATCAGAGATTCATCAGTAACAATAAAGTATAAAATCAATTATTAATGTAATGTGGAGCGTTGAAGTATTTACCAAATCTCCAGGAAATGGACTCAGTGTATGACGTCCCCAAACAAATTAAGTAGTTTTTTTAGTTTTATTTAATAACGGTGCAAAAGCTTCAGCACACAAGTAATTCACAAATTGATAACTAAACTAAATTTCCGAAATCTAGAGATTCTTGGAAAAAGTCACAAAACACACAAACTAAGAGTAAATATTAGACAACCTCTTGGTTATTACAATCTTATTATTAAAAACTTAATTTTCAGATATTCCGGTTGAAGGGTGTAATCATTTTGACAAAATAATAATCAATGTGATGACGTTATTTATCAAAATCCTAATCGTTTTAAAATTCTTTTCCCAGCCTCTTTACTAACGTTTATAGCTCTCTCCATGACACTGATCGTTGGACGTCTGATTTCCTCTATTCTAGACGTGGATTTTAGATGTTGAACTGGTCCTTGGGAAAACACTGGCATTTCCGATTTTTGTTGCTCGATTTTCTCGTAAACCTTTTTTATGTCTCTACCAAAATGTTTAAGTTTAAAGGCCTCTTGCATTAAATCTTTAATATCTTTAGCTGCTTCTGCCTTTCCTTCGTCGGTGTCACTTACTTTATCCATTGCCTCGATCAAAATCCCTTTTTGTTCTTCATATTCTGCTTTGTATTTAGTCCATTCGGAAATTCTGACTGCTCTTTTACCGTCAACATCCTCTTTTTCTTTTTCCTGTTGTATTTGAACATCAATGTAATCCCCCATGGCATCATTGAAAGGTATGATCGCATAAATTTTTAGAAAAGCTGCAAATCCTGCAGCTACATCTTGAATTTTCTTTCCCTCATCTTTAAATTCCTCTCCCAATACTTTCAAACTTTTCATCTGTTCCTCCTTTTTTTCTTTTTCTGACAATTTAGAATTAATCAGTTTTTGAACTTCGTCTGAGATGAATTGTTTCTTGACTCGATGGAGATCGTATGTCCTATGCATGTGGACAGTGTAGTGGTGTCTGCATTGTATGCAGTTATTAGTACTTCGATCTATAGCCTGACAGCCTCTTAATTTTACGTCACCGATAACTTCAGGACTAACCTGACCACCCAAATTGCAATGTGCATGGCAATGCTTTATGTAATTTGGCTGCTTTATCATGTCTTTTCCTACCGGAACGTAATCAATACAGTCGGAATGAGTACAAACTGTCCGCGGATACGATAATCGATGCTGCTCTAAAGTGATCCCTTCAAATTGGAGATTATTTTCGAATGTTGTAGCTTCTGTACCCAAAGCCTCTATCTCATTTAGAAACGCTTTAACACCTTCTTCATTCTTCCTAATAGTGGCTGTGAACTCCTGTAACGGTCTACTCAAACCCACAATAATCCTCCTTGAATCATTGAGCGAGGTAGTATCCTTCACGACATGTGGGCTTGTGTTTGTAGTAATATGTTGTAATAATCTGTTTGTCTCATTACAGGCCCTACTCCAACTTCCCTCATATATGGTCATGACATCCTCTTCAAACTCGATTCCGTTTAAAACACATGCAAGAAGGCGGAACGCTTCATTATCAAAGCAAAATGTGTTTTCTTGGACTGCTTTGAGTCCAATATTATTTTCCGATAGCAGCTTTCTTAGAGCAGGTAAGGTTTCTCCGGGCTCGTAAAAAGTTGCACGAGTATTTGTGAACACAAAGCTAATGTTGTGAGCAGCATCTCTGTGGAGGTGTGAGAGCAATTGTTGTATGCAATGTTTGAACTTGGCTATCCATTATCGGTATGACATTTTTTATCTAGATAAACAGATAAAGATTTAGGTTTTATCTAGATAAAACCGATAAAACCGATAATTTTTCTGCTGAAGGCCAAAGCCAAAATGTTTTCCAAATTTCGCAAAAACTAATTGTCGACTTTTATTACTGTTTACCAGTAATCTTGCTAAAGTACCACTTCCTTTCTTTTGAAAATATTAGAGCATTAGTTTTCTTCTCCGGGGAGCAGAAGTGCACCAGTTTTCTTCAAAACAGTAAACCAACGGTTTTCTTCTCCTGAGAACAGTAGTGCACCAGTTCTCTTCAAAACAGTAGACCAACGGTTTCCTTCTCCTGAGAACAGTAGTGCACCAGTTGTCTTCAAAACAGTAGACCAAGGGTTTCCTTCTCCTGAGAACAGTAGTGTACTAGTTCTCTTCAAAACAGTAGACCAAGGGTTTCCTTCTCCTGAGAACAGTAGTGCACCAGTTGTCTTCAAAACAGTAGACCAACGGTTTCCTTCTCCTGAGAACAGTAGTGCACCAGTTGTCTTCAAAACAGTAGACCACCGGTTTCCTTCTCCTGAGAACAGTAGTGCACCAGTTGTCTTCAAAACAGTAGACCAAGGGTTTCCTTCTCCTGAGAACAGTAGTGCACCAGTTGTCTTCAAAACAGTAGACCAAGGGTTTCCTTCTCCTGAGAACAGTAGTGTACTAGTTCTCTTCAAAACAGTAGACCAACGGTTTCCTTCTCCTGAGATTTGAGAACAGTAGTGTACTAGTTATCTTCAAAACAGTAGACCACCGGTTTTCTTCTGAAAACAGTAACGCAATAGTTCTCTTCAAAACAGTAGACCACCGGTTTCCTTCTCCTGAGAACAGTAGTGCACCAGTTGTCTTCAAAACAGTAGACCAAGGGTTTCCTTCTCCTGAGAACAGTAGTGTACTAGTTCTCTTCAAAACAGTAGACCAAGGGTTTCCTTCTCCTGAGAACAGTAGTGCACCAAATACCAATTCTCCTCGAAACAGTAAAGCATTTAAAGTGATTCAGTGAACCGTTTTCTTATCCTGTTGATAACTTGGAGCAACAGATTCCTTCTCCTGAAGACAATGTTTCACGCCCAGAACACTTACGAAATTCAATTGAGTGCCCTGCCGGTATTTTTGACTCTTGTTAACAGTAACATGCTCGTTCCCGTCTCCAGAATGGTTGTAAGGTAAAACGCCAGCACCCTCAAGAGAACAATGTCAATAACCTTCTCTAGATTTCTACAGTTCATACAGTTCTACAGTTCCATAGGTATACAAATGTAAATAAACCTCTTAAGCTCACTTCTAAGTAAACTACCTCTTCTATCATACTAGAAGACGTTTGGGACTGTTTCTTGGATTACTTGGAAAGGCAAAAACACTAATATTTCTTTACAATTTTACGGTATTGTGGCAGTATTTTCGGTAATATCTAGTGAATTTTTATACCGATAAAAATATGTTTTATCTAGATAAACAGATAACTTTTTTTAACGAATTATCGGAGATAATTATCGGTTACGATTATCGGAGTGGATAGCCTAGTTTGAACATGATCCCAAGCCTTGCATTGTTAGGCTTTAGAAGCACGATTATTCCATGAAGTTCATCATAGTATGTGAGATGAGCGAGGATCTTTTCCATGTTTTCATCGTCTTGTTTTGATCCTCTAGTGTCTCCAATACCTGGCGTGTCTATGATATTTACAATGGCACCCCCAACTTTGAATGGGTGAGTTTTTGCTCCTTGGGTGTTAGATTCCCCGATCTCATGAGTTTCGTTTAGGTCTTCTTTTCCTATCATAACTTCTCGTGTGATTCCATCTTTTGTGAATGTAAATTTAGTTGGAATCGTGACAATAGGATTAGCTTTGCTTCCTTCAATTGCTGATTTCAAGGTGTCATAATTGATGTAATTAGCGAATGAATTTATCCAGGTTGATTTGCCAACGCCAGTTTCGCCAAGAATCAATATATTAATTCTCGTCCAAGGTTTTGTTTTTGACAGTTCTTCAGAAAGGTCATTCATATCGTATGCATTGAATTCGATCCCATGTTCATCTTCGTCGCATCTGTATTGTGTTTTTTGAGGATCGCAGGCCACCTTACATATTAAACAGTAATATTGTCTTACGCTCACTCCATATTGGACAGGATTTTTGCAATCAAAACATTTCCATTCCTTCTGCTTGCTTGAACATCCTGCAGGTCTGCTTGAACCTGGGCACTTAATCACCAATTCTGCACGTTTTTGTGGAAGTGAATCATACTTTTCTTTACCCCGAAGTTTCACAAGACAGATATCCGTGTCCTGGCAGTATTTTTCAGCGACATTACTTTCCCAACAGCTTCCATTTTTGTAGAAACGAATCGTATTTATTAACTCTTCAGACAAGCCCTTCGAGTAAACACTGCAATCCTCAACGTAGAATTCCGTTTTAAGGTTTTTCTCGGAGCTCTTTTTTAACCTCTTTAAGATTTTCAAGGCAGTGATAGCTTGATTTCCTGAACCCAGAAAGAGTACGTAATGGTCTTTCTTTCCATGGTGTATCTGATGTGCCTTCCCGAAATATCTTATTCCAAGCTGCTTCACTTTGCTCACTTCTCCAATTTTGTGCACCAAAGGTTCTTTTGTGGCTAGATATCTTTCAATTTCCTTTGCTGAAAAATTTCCGCCCGCAAATTTTGCGATCATTGCCACCAGATCGGATTCGGGTGTCTTTTCCGACCTTATACTTTTGAGGACTTCTCGAAGCTTATCTTTAAAGTTTGTTTCATGTTCGACGATGGAAGTAAGGAGATCTTCAAGTGCATATGCTTCACTGTCTGATATGCATTCTATTCCCTCAAGTAATATCTTATAGCACCCTGCTACCTTCAGTTGGGAATCCGATATATCTTGCGCCAATTTAACTACCTGTTTCAGAAGGCTCGGATCTACTTCTTGGTAGGAAATATCTCTGGGTATTTTTTGCCTTAACTTTCTTCTAACCTTACTCAACGGTGTAAAGATAAACTTCAGGGGAACCCCTTTCACTTCGTCAGAAATTTCCACCAATTTGTTAATGGAATTTAATTTTTCTATTGCATTGCAGAACGTCATAGGAAGATCTTGACCATTGCTTTCAATATCACACTTGGCGTAAACCTGAATTCTATCATCTTTTTCAAACTGGTCAAAATAATAGTTATAACTTGAACACTCTAAATCAAGTTGGGACAGCAGCAAGATACCTTCATTGCTACTTTCCACTTCACTATGGCAAGAAGATTCCGACTTCTCTTCAG